AACACAAACACTCTTCTTAAACCACGTGCAAGATGTGCCTTGGTAAATCCAGTTGAATGCCAGTGCTACCTAGAAAATTCAGTAAGCTGAGCACAGATAGACTTGCCGTCTTAACAAGAGAGCAAAGCAGGCACGCTGGCAGCATAGAATCAACCAGACTTTGCACATATCCAAAGCCTGCTGTCTTGCAGCCCCCTCCCCTGCCTGACTGGGTATTTCACCCAGAACATGTTGTCACCACATCTATTCCACGAGACGGTTTGCAGCCGAAGCCAAACTTGCAACACTCTGTATTCAGATGTACCATACTAACAGGAGCCCAGGGGATATTTATTCAATCAATTTTCCCTTTACTGCTGCAGTTACAGGTAAACAGCAGATTACCATGTGACAGATTGTACAATGGTTAACAGCAGCATTTATTGTGTGTGCACATGTTCCAGTGCTGTTGGGGTTCAAGTGTTGAACTTCACATAGCAATTTTGCTTCAGTTTTATATGGAACTAGGACTGCTATATGATAGAGATTTTTGCATATATACACTTGAGTAAATGCCTGATACTACAGAACTGTATTTAAGTGGAATTTATACCTGGGTTTTGAACAAGTATGAAGGCATCTACCACAGCTGTTCACGTTCATGCAAAACACTGACAAATAACAGGCAGCAAGTGGTGTAGTAACACTTCTAACAGCTGCCTGCAGATCAGATGCTGTGCTAAAAAACCCAATAGCATTGCAAGAGCTAAATGCAGAAAAACAAAAGCAACTTTGAACTCCTTCATGAATACATTCAAATAGTTCTGCATTGACAGCATCAATTTAATCTACCAGTTCCTTGCATTTGCTCTAAGAGATTCAGATACTCTCATTGCGCATTGAGCAACAGTTACCAAATGAAAACCTCTCTCTCAAGGGGAGTGTGCTCTGAAGCTACTCACTATTCAGCTAGCATCACACTCTTGGGTGTTGGTCAGCTTGGCTTCTTCAGCTTCAGCAGACTTACTGTAGCCAACCCAGAGATATTTGTTTTAAGTACGTTTATTAACACTTTGGAAAAAAGTGGAAGTATTAGAATCTAGACAGACAAAGCTCATAAGATCTATGACCACAGAATGATTGAGGTTGGAAGGGGCCACTGCAGGTCATCTGGTCCAACCTCCCCCGCGCAAGCAGGGCCAGCTAGAGCTGGTTGCCCAGGACTGTATCCAGATGGCTTTTGGGTATCTCCAAGGATGGAGACTCCACAACCTCCCTGGGCAACCTGTGCCAGGGCTCGGTCACCCTCACAGTAAGAAAGTGTTTCCTGATGTTCAGAGGGAACCTCCTGGGTGTCAGTTTGTGCCCACTGGCTCTGGTCCTGTCACTGGGCACCACTGAAGAGGCCCTGGCTCCATCCTCTTTGTGCCCACCCTTCATCAGGTATTTTGTGCACATTTATGAGATCCCCCTGAGCCTTCTCTTCTCCAGGCTGAACAGTCCCAGCTCTCTCTCTCCTGTGTAGCCCCGCATCTCTCTTGTCCTGGGGAGCCCAGAACTGGACACAGTACTACAAGTGTAATGTAAATTACAAGGTAAAACTTTACACTTGAAATAGAAAACCTAAGAAGAGGAAGCATAAAACTGAGAAATTGAACAAAGAAAAAAAATTAAATATCTAAAAGTGTAGAAAAGCATTACATTACTATCACACCTCAAGAAAAAACAGCAGAACAGCAGAAACTGTCCAGGAATAGAAAAGAAGCATTAAGTCAGCATTATGTTCTAAGCTGAGTATTTGTGCACGAATGTTCTTTATTGTGTTACTGTCTTTGCTTCTCTACAAGTGAATGGCAAAAAGATACAGATCCAGCATGACATCATTTTTCTCAATTCCTCACATTATGACAATTCCTCACAGTTTTCCAATAGCAGCAGCTTTTGACCAGTAGCAAGGTGAACTAAATTCGGACCAGTCACCTGAAAGTGAAGGATATTATGCTTCTCTATGACTGCTACTCTCTCTGGCTTGTTTCCATAGCAGTGTTCACAGAAAACAGAACAAATCAACAAGATGATGTACACAATGCAAAGAAGCTTCAAACAAAATGCAGGAAGCCTATTTTATGGCTGTCTTAATTTTGCTTTAAATTATACTATCACAGAACACAGAACAGAAACAGTTTAAAATCTCTGATACCGGGGTAAAAGACAACTGAGATTACATTGGTACTGTTTCATTTCAGGTACAGAAGGGCTCTGTTGGACTTGAGGCATAGAATAACTCAGGGTATTAAGATCTATTCCTTGCTCATCACAGACTTAAGGCAACTTTGGGCAAGTTACCATCTCTGTTTCATCAGTGAAATGGAGATAGGATTTTTCTGCCTCATAGGCAAGACTAAAATTAATCTCTATAAACTGCCTGAATAGTCAGGAGTTTTATATTAAATATTAAAATTAATATAAAGATTTTTAAACAGGTAAAATGTAAAAGAAAAAAAAAAAAACCCTTCCACTAACAAATTCTGAGCTATTACCTAAACCATATATAAAATCCCTCCAGAAAAAAAGTATGAATCCATTTAATTACTTTCCTAACTTGTGAAGTTTACTTATTATTTCCTGCCCTCCAGAGTATACATGCAATTCTATACCTCTTCAGAACAGTAAAGAATTCAAAAAGTTTTCATGACTGAACAAGCAGTGGTCAAACATGAGAGAAGGGCTTGTTTGTGCCTGGGAGCATGGGAGGCAGAAATAAAAGAAACAATTAAGACAAATCAGGTTAGTAAGGAAGGCACTTAAAGAAAAAAGAGCACTTGCAGTAATTTATTTCCTCTTCCTTTGGTTCTCAAAGGCAAGCAAGTGAGAAGAGAGGTTTTCCTGAAAGATGGAATGAGGTCTAGGAGTTAACTCATACATGTACTCATCAAGACCTTTCAAAAAATATAATGGAAAGTATAAAAGGAAAGATTTTTTCATGGAGAAAAAAAGGATTTAAAAATTATCCAGACAGTCATAACTGATATGAAGCAGAAAATATGGAATGTGACCAATTTGTAAGAGTATGATGTGGGCCCTTAAATGCAGGAACAGAAACCTGAAACAATCCATAGTGTATCAACAGAGCATCTTAAAAAGGGAGTTAGCATCCAAAAGTAAGAAAGACAAGTAAGGAAGTCAGGCAGACAAGTAGGAATGACATGTGCCTAAGTTTTAGCTTAAAATGTTTGGTAAGTTCAAAGCACATGAGTGGTAAAACACTATTAAGAAAAAGTTTAATGCAGTACCAGGAAACACTGTAGGTTTCAGGGTGGGTTCAGAGCATTAGTTCTTCCACACTTGTATTCACATATAGGTATCTGAATAATTAGCAGTTTGATGATACTGACGTACTGAAATACTGAAGAAATCCACTGCACAGTCAATTACTTCGGCAAACAAATGCAAAAATGTAATGTGAAAGCAACTGTAAACGCATACTAATTTAGAAAAGCAGAGCTCCCTCCATCCTCCACAGGAGGCAGAGGGGGTCACAGAGGTAGACTGCTGACACCAATGGAGACCTTGGGCAGCCTTCATTTTAGTGTGAACTTCAATCCCATTATAACTAATTCTTACACCACCGTTTTTCTGTAGAGAGGAGAAAGTTGTGTAGCATAAGAAGCAACTAATTCACATCATATTTAGATAATGTATTCTATAGTAACAGAATGAATGTTTTTTTCTGTAGTTTCATAATGCCTACCGTAAAGAATCCAGGAGCCAATGAGTATAAAACGCAAAAGTTATTATGATCAGCCTACATAGCAACTTTGGGAAGGGTTAACCAACACCCCAATCAATGTAAGTGCTCTTACACAAAAAATGAAGAATTTACAGTTACTTTGTGGCCAAGCCCTTAATTCATATTTCATAGACAACACAAACCTAACATACATATACAGTACAGAAGATCCTAAAACAAAATTTTGTAATAAGAACACTTGGAGGTTTTTAAGGTTCTCTTACTTGCATGCACTATAAAGCTATTAAAAAAAACCCCCACAAACAGCAATTCACTGAAACAAAGGTTTTCTTAATGTCTCAATGAAAGCAGGAAACTGTGCAGACCATGACAGGTGGCAAATTATGAAGTACTCTCACTTGTGTGTGCATTTTCTTTAACACACTTACATAGTGTTGATTAGCAAGTACTAAACTCACATCTATGAAAATAAAAATCTGGCTTTTAAATTTATGCTATTAACACTAAACCTACCATATTCATTTGTGTATAAAAATAATTTTTTAAAGTATACCTGTAAAACAAAACATACATTTCTATAGTTAAGAAAAAGAAAATTCATAAAAAAATAAATCAAAACTTCCCCTAACGTGTGCTCCATTAACTCAGCCTTGTATACAACAGAGAATAAATTAAATGGTCAACTGTGAGCACTACACTCTCCAGAGAGAGAAAACAGAGACAAAATGGATTATATAAAGTTTGGCAACCTACATACTACATTTGAATTCTAGTCAGAAACTTTGGGAGTGACTTCTCATCTATTTGTATAAAACAGATGCCAAACAAATTATATTTACTATGACTTTCTGCATGTATGGTAGCTTTCATGTAATTTGGTTTCCAGAAGTTCAATAAAGTTTAGCAACAGACAGTTTACAGATGGCAAAACTGAGACTGAAAAATTGTCAAAACGATGCTCAAATGCTAATTACCAAGTTCCACCAAGCTAGTGAACAGAGCAGTAAGTGTTCCATAATTACTTGCTTTTCAATGGTTCAAAAACTATCCCTATTTTAAGCTTGACAGGTAAGTTAACCTCACTGGAAGAGAAACTTCATTTAGTGAAAAGAATGCAAGGAAATGTAAGAGTTGATAAACATTACAGGGAAAGAAACATGTATCAATCCCCTTGACTTGGTCAAATGCACTCTTGCATCAAATTTGAAACTGTAACCCTTTTTCATATCTTACCATAAAACTCTGGCTGCAACATGAAAATGGAGAGCCATGGCAGGCCATCCTTCTCTTTCAAGGTGTACATGTTTGTCAAATTCACACCTCTCTACCTCATCCAGGACACAATCAATCATGCAGCAGCTGGGAATTTAAAAAACAAAATTGTCACACGCAATAAATTCTCCTAACTTGGCAACACGGGGTGTATATGGGTTGAAAGGCTTTGCTGACACACCAGAATAGCTTGACTGCTGGAAACAGTGCAGTTACATTAGCGCAGCTCTCCACTCCACTTATTTGTCCTGTTGTGCTAAGATGGCTATGTTATTCCGTGTTCTATTTAATAACATACGTAATATGGCATATGCTAGCTACCAACTCAATAAGCAAAGTTTAAGGCACATTTTGTGTCTGTGCTTTGATTACAAGCTCCTTGGAACAGCAATTCTTCCTAAATGTCTGAAAAATTTTTTGCACATTTTTAACACTTTCATAGACTAGTATTTTTGGCACATGGCAATCCTTTGAGATATTTCAATTCTTTGTATATTATTCCTGACCATACAATTCTATTACCCAATTTACTTTTGTCTAAGTTGAAAGGACACATACCAAGATGCATCTAAGGGACACAACAACAAAAAAATCATGACCACATGAGAACAATGAACTGTAAGGTGATTAGTATTTTTAAAGTGCTATTGTTAAATATATAAAATGAAAGAGATGCAAGTGATTCAAAAGTGAGTTGAATATGAACATATGGAGAGATAAATGGACTTAGCCTTCCTAAATTCACAATGAAAAGACAGACTGGTAGTAAGTACATTGTCTTCTCCTGTCATTAAAGAAAGAAAATTGTAATCTGTACCCTAATCCTCTTAAGTTCATCGCAGGACCACACACAGGCTGACACAATACACATTCCATATACATTAGCAGATGCTGTTATTCTTTACTCCAATATTGAAAATGAAGAGTTTTGATTTGATGACGCTAATTTAGAGGACTTCCATGTCTCTTTACACCACAATGATATGGAGGGCCACAGGCCACTAAAAATTTTGTATTTCACAACAGAATAAGCAAATAACAGCTTCTTACATCATTGTTTCAATCATGACTTTTTCATTCTGTGTTCTCAACCTGTTCAGGCCTAAAAGCACATTCCCCCCTTGTAAATGCATGGGTGTTGACTGCACAAACTCAATCTCATTTCTGTTACTTGCAAGCAATAATCAAAAGAGTAACACCATAAAATTTCCATAGAAATTTCAATTATTACAATAAATACCAAGTTCTGTGATGATTTAATCAATAACTTAAAAAACCCCAACATTTTTATTTAAAATGAAAAAGAGTGACAACATACCATATTCTAAACCTTCCACGTTTAAAACTGCAATTTGGTCAACCAGTTGCTGATTAGGTTCCATTAAACATTAATACAGTATTACATTTAAATTACCCCGCCTAGACAATTAACAAAGAACAACTCATCTCAGATCAGCCACATGGCCAATATTATTAAAATGCCCAAACTGGTCTTCTACTGTGCCCCACTTGGAGTGCAGCTTCTCAGCAGTTTGCCAGGAGCTGCTGTCCTTCATTGCCTGAAAATGCCATCGGACAATGGCCTACAACACCTTTTATGATGAATTCAAGTGCTCTGAAGAAAGGGCTCACAAAAATGTGCATTTATAGCAATCTGCAAGCAGACAATGTGCCTTCAGCTCCTTTGGTTTTAATAATGTTCCCTTTGGAAAGTGAATCAGTTGAAGACTGTTCCAATAAAATAATAAGTCATAGTGTAGACAAGGCATAAACCACTGTCTATACAGTTTGTGATAACGTCCTTGTTTTCCTTTCTTCCACACTTTTTTTCCAAAGACCATGCAGTGAAGGCAATTTGATTTTATCCATATTCTTACTGTAAACATTAAGAAATATACCAAGGACAACCAGTAAGCCTGACCACACGTACCTATAAAGGGAGGGAGAGGAGGAGGAAAAAAAAAGTTACCATTAGCACTTCATCTGTAGCGATTACATACCAATATTTGTGGATTAAATAAAAATAAAGCCCCTACATCAAGTAGAGAATAGCTTAAGGAAAAACACCCCCACAAATTAGCGTACTCTGAGAAAGAATTTGCTTGAATCTTTATTATTACTATACTTCCAGTCTTCCTTTTCCCATCCTGGCTAGAGAGCTTATTAAGGTGCATTTATAGTTAAATAATAACTAAACAGTAGCTGTTCTTTCTCACATGAATAAAGTAGTCCTGAGGTGTTTTAGTATGTTTTTGCTTCCTACGGTTATGAGCACTATACTCTCTATTACTGGTCCAAAATGTGTTCTCACTCAGTGTCTTATATCCATACTTCCCAGTGTAAGCACTTTTTTGTTTCAGCTCTCCATTATTTTAAGCATCAAGAGTAAATTCCATTTGGGCATTTGGCTGTAAGCTTTGTTCTTAGATCTCAAATAAATTTATACACAGCAATAAAATTGAATACTATTTTGTTTCAAACCAGAAGCAATTAGTATCAATATAGCAACCTAGCTGCATTTTTCAATGTAAGCTCTTACTTGAAATAAAGAAAAAAAAAAAAAAAAGGAAGAAACCCAAGCTCAAAAAATCTTGCAGTTTAATACATCAAGATAATAGAAGCTTGTAGTTATTTAAAAGGGCTAGCTAAGAACTCAAACCTGCTCATAAAAGGGGAAAAAATACTGTAATGGAGAAAGTACCTTCCTTTAGCCAAATCTTCCTCCACAGAGAAAGTACCCCATCAATTTATTAAATATCATAAGCACTAGATATTATGCAAGAATTTTCTTAAAAGAACAACAAAAAAAATGCCAACACATGGAATAGCTTGTCTTCCAGACCTTTAGAAAAATGGAAACTATTTTCTCTAGCATGATTAGCATCAAGCAGCCAGTCAATATTTACAGCAGATTGCCAACATTTGTAGAAGATATGAAATGAAAAGCATTAAAGCCTGAATATGATTAATTACTGTTGTTATATTTCCATGATCAAGAACATGATTTTTTATAAAATATATAAAAACTCATTTAAAACCATAAATACTTACTGTAATGTGAATGGCTTTGCAAAAAACAAAAAAGAAAGCACAATGGTCATTGCTTTTCTTCCTGTTGTTACTGCAGAGGAAAACAAATATTTACTTAAGAATTCAGTTACAGCAAAAGAACGTAATATAGGCTTCAATATTAGTAGATAACCTCATTACATAATTAGGTATCTGGCTAAAATGATGATCATCCTTGGTGCAAACACAGACTGCAAAAGCAGCAGTCCAGTGCAAAACAGCACTAGAACCATACGCTGTTTGAAACAAGTACACTGCGTCGGTAGTATCAGCTCCAGCCATAGTATCTGCAGCAGAGAAACTTCCAGAACAAGACTTGCTATTTAATAAATTCACAATATCTTAAAGCAACAAACAATCCTTGCAAGTAACTGATGGTATAAACTAATCTGTTAAAGCAGAAAAAAGTGGTATCACTGTTCGGATATACCAAATCTCTTGCCATTTCCACCTCTTGTTATTACAGTTCAATGGTGTTTTGGGCTTTATTTTTAAGTGGAATGGGATAATCATCTTGTTACCTAACAGTGCAGAGAAATGCAGTTTTGGTTAGAAACCTAAGAGACCAAGGATGTCCAACTTCAACGACTGCATTAGGAAGTTTTCATCAAAACCATTAAGAGACATTCTACATGTGATCTTATCACTAGAAGGAATCAAGGTAGTAAGAAGAGTTGAGAACACACTCCTGTTACCAAAATGGAAGTAAACTATCTGTTTGGGTTACTCTCAAATTAACTATAGTGCCAACAATTATTTGAACAATTACAATCCTATCCGCTATGAATAAAAATACAGTGTTGCTAGCAAATTGTGTACTGGGAAACTTGCATGGTTTATCACTGAAACAAAATCAGTAAGTGAGTAAAAGTTACAGAAAATGTTTAAAAAGAAAAAAGTAACAATGCAGCCAGGCACACAAGTTTAGCTATAGAGGTTAAGGGCCCAAGAAGGTAATATTTGGTATGACAGTGCAGGCTTCTCACTTAAGAAAGACCTTAGTATAATTGTCTGCACCTAAAGAAAACTACGTTTTTTATTAACAGAAAATATTTTGCTTACCATGAAGTACTTTTTACTACACCATACTGGAAAGCCTTACTTGTATAACTACATCCACATTAGTCTTACTGTAACATACTGACAAAAGTGACTAATGACTTCTGATGTACTTTCACGCTGTTTATGGCTAGTAAAGCAAGCTTCATTCTCCTCAACCCTCCCCCGTAAACAAATATTTACTTAAAAGCATGTTTTGTAGTGGAGGAAACAGCCTTCACCATTGCTTCATCTGCTCCAATCTCAACTTTTTAGTAACAATTTTCCTTACATTTTAAGAAATCTATGAGCATCAAATGAAATTATTTTCTATTACATGAAAAATTAAAGGGGAATGAAAAAGAAAATTGAGTTTTAATTAGAAAACAGTTTACAGATGAATAATTTAAAAAATGGTTAAATTACTTCAGTTTTTCTAATTACGATTATTTCTGTTCTTTCAAATCAGTTATTAATTAAAATATTTATGTAACCATTTCCTTCTAAATTAAGTGCCTTTTCTTCTTTTTCCCAATTAAGTCTGATAATTTCTCATTCTGCTAATAGAAATACAATTTTCATTAAACTCTTTCACCCCACTCCCCTCCAAGAAGGGGGAGGGTGGATGGGGGGTGGGAGGGACAGTAATGAATGCGGTATTCTTCCAAGGCACAATAAACATTTTCACATTGCTACAGGCAAGACAGAAAGGGCTCAAGTGTTAGGATTGTCAAGGTCAGGCATAAGAAAACCTGGGAAGGGTTTGCTATTCCACAGCATTTTAAAACATTTTTTAGCACAGTAAGACTTTTTTTTTTTTTTTTAAAAAGCTATTTTAATACATGAACCAAGGCACTCATCTGGGCCAATTTCCAGTCAGGAGACGTACTGAACTTTGTTAAAAACAAACATGAAACAGAAGTGCTGCAGAGAAATAATTAACAGGAAAGCAGAGCATGCAATTCTCAGGTCAGAAGACAATTGTCTATATTTTCTTCTCCACTGCTGCGAATGAAGTAGAGCATCACCTGATGGAAAGCAGCTTTTAGGGGTAGAGGGAACAGAGGAAGGTAGCTCCATGGCATCTTGCTACACTTCCCCGCAAGGCCCTTGTGACTCATGTTTGCAGTTTAAGAAAAGGTAACCTGAAGAAGGAACGAGCCTGGTGTAACTGTTCTTGATAGACTACTATAACTACTATAGAAATGATAGAAAAAGCTAAATGGGCAATGGTTGATTTTTGAAAAATACACTCAATTTACATTCTAAGTTCGGAAGCAACCATTTTCTACAGACAAACAATTTTACATAGCAGCTGCATATAGTAATGAGTAATAATTTTAGGGACAGCCTGAAAACAGGTGTACAGGAAAATGACGAAAAATGATCAAGTGTCAGACTTTTCCTTTAGTGTTGTTAGATACATGAAAAATGTTAACATTACAATTAACTGCTGTTAAAATGAACAGCAGTCATTTCCCCTTATTCCAACAGTTGAGAATATTCTGATATGTAAACACTTCAGTCACTTGACTTTTACAAACTCATAATAATACAGGTTAAAAGCATTCACTTGTAATACAGTTATGTCATTTGGCTGTAGCTAGCTTTGCCTCACCCATGTAATGCCATGTACTAAAATATGCCACAGCCTCACAAATACAGATGCAAGCCACAATGAACTAGTACAAATAATTTCTGAACCACAATTTCTGTTGCATCTGTCTTACTAGTGATTCCTTTGATTTAATCAGATTCTATACTGCTTCTTCCATTAAGGATATCAGGCAGACAAAGTATCAATAGGCTCTGAACACACTTCCTTCTCTGAAGCTATACAGTTGCCCTTCCACACAGAATTTGTTTAGTTTTAATACTTTTCATTGTTTCTAAGGCACACATCAGCCAATGCATTACTGAAGACCAAGCATAACCAGATGACATTACTTCCCAGTACAGCACTGAGACTCATTATACTCAGTGACTCCCTTACTCACAGAGAGCCAATCTCAGCTAGTAGGATTTCAGTCTCTCCATATGATTTTTCCAGATGACTGATTACTCAACACGAAGAATATGTCCAGTTGCATAGGGGATAACAGTCAAGTCTGAATATCTCTAAAGGCTGAAAATCCATAATGGTTGTGAGTGCCTCTTGCTTTGTGTCCTCCTTTTCCTCATCCACCTGGACATATACCTGGAGCATGTCAGCACAGATAGGTCTGACTTGCATTTATTGCTAGGAAATTATTATATTATTAGGTGAAAACACCACGTGACAGAAACTTTTTATTTGTGCATGTACTAACACAGGAGCAGACAAGATGGTATTTGGTGACTTTCTTCGCCTGGAATGGATTCCTGTAACTTTTGACATACTTTAGGGACTTATATTGTTCCACATTCACGTGTGGCTGGCAGATACACCAGTGAGTGGCCCAAATCTTCTCAACATATAACTCAGAGTTCTTTACATTTGTTTCTTCTGACATGGTTGATACAGTCATAAGCTGTACTAAGCATTTAACAGAAAACATGACTGCTTCCATTTTTTGTGGGACGATTATATCGGAAGTCTAGAAGATGATCTGAAAGACTAGACAGAGTCTGCTTCTGTCATTAACAACAGGCTTGTACCTGTCCCATGAATATAGGCATTGCAATTTAAAGATAATACAGCAGCTGTTACACAGCTCACCAGAAGTTTATTTAGTTCAAATCCTGGCTTCCAAAACTAATACATGTCCTTTATTCCCTTCAGTTTAATAAAAAGAACTGAGAAGACCATCACAAAAGTCAGCATTTGTTCCACTTAAGTTCTTTCTGAACTGAGACTGAAGTGCGTATTTAACATTGCTATAGCGGCGTTCCACTGAGAGTGTATGGACATTCAGAAGCTTTGGGAGGAGTTCCTTCATTCTTTTTCTACCAATACCATTTGTTGGAAATCTCCAGAAATTCTGCGCTTAGAGACTATGACACTGCCTACTATACCTTACTGGAACATCCTTACTTTTCCTTCCATATTTCAGATAATACCTGTCTTTTCCTTACACTTTGCTGTACATTTCCATTGCAATTCCTCTGTTTAGAACAGCATTGTTTCTGCATTAAAACACAGCACAGGCTATACGCACAAGATTACTTAACAGGCTCTTCAGGGTTGAAACTGTGGCACAGAAAGAACCAGGAAGATCTCAGACGCACACTACTGGTGAAGATCCATGCTACACAAGCCACAATCAGTCAGCACAAAGAACAGAAACAAATATAATAGCATATAATAGAATAGGACTACTTTATGTTTTTATACCAAAAGCAGTAAAGATATCATTTGTTCATACCTGTTACAGCCAGAAGGGCACCAAAGATTTTAATCAAAGCTAGAACAAAGGATATGCCAAAATACCCAGTCAGGGAGAAAAGGAATGCATAACCGTAAGTCTGAAGTGGATGCTGCAACAACAACAAAAAAAGCCTGTTAGGAAAATGTAAAACAAACCCTGAGGTATTGCAAAATGACATAAAACTACAGACTTTAATCAACTGCTTGAGCAATAATAAGCTGTTCAACAATGCATTCATGCAAAGATCCTCATTTAATTTTAGTTAAATAATGGAAAAATAATAATGAAATTATAAGCTTATAAGTCTGGTCCTGTGATTTTATTTTAGTTTTTAAAATGTTACCCTATCTTATACATCAAAGACTGTAGCAACTTGCTTAATATATGAATTATACAAGTTAAATGGTTTATGTGACAAAAATACAACTTTAGAGAAGTGGTGAGATTTTCTAAAGCATACAGAGCAATGTTTTCCAATGAGGTTCTTCATTGAAAAAAGGCAATCTTTACACCTACCTTTGAGCAAAATGTTACTGCAGGGCTTAATCCACTAGTGCATGTTAATCCAAATAAAATATACACGAAACCTATTGAATAGGAATACAAAACCTAGAATAGTTTAAGAGAAAATAATTACCAGATCATACTTTACAAGAGTACAAAATTAAATGCTTTCAAATACTTGGCCCTATTAATATGTTCAACTTCTCAGAGTTGAATTTGCAGCGTTTGAAGATATTTTTACTAGGATTTCTATAATAGCTGATGTACAGTGAAAAAGTGTTAGAGACATTCTTCCTGCCCACAACTACATAAAAGTAGTTTTGTAAGCTAGTCAGTTAATAATATCCCAAGGTCAATGCTGACTGTGGTAAATCCTTTAAATTCAGGATTTCGCAGCCTAATTAAAACTTCACACAACTATGTAATTTAATAGTTTGAATAATATGTTAAATGTATTTTGTTTTCTGCTACTTATCCTGCACAGTAAAGATCCATATTACATTAAATGTTCAAAGGGTAGCATGTAATCATCACGAGCTGCCAGAAGTGTCACCTAAGTTTCATCTGTGTCACTTCAGTTCATGTACATGGCGCACCTGCATTACGGTTGTAGAATACAAGATTTTCAAATATGACCAGCTCTGGCCTAAGTTCAGTACTCAGAACAGACTATACTCAAGCAAACAGGTAAGCTCTTAATTTTGCCTGTACTCTTATTTAATTCATAGCTTCATCCAGCAACAAAAGAATCTTCATCCAGCAACAAACGAATCTTCATCCTATTATTTCCCACGTAGAGGCAACAATAGAAGCTGGAACTGCCCATCCAACCATCCTCCCATGCAGTGGGAAGCATTCAGCTGTTTGGCCAACATTTAGTGGCCTTTTCTTGTGAAAAAGGGAGACAGTGAGCAGAACTATTCTACACATTACTAGCTAGAACACTCTGATCTCCTACACTTTAAAAACTCAGTGTCAATTACAGGCCTACTTGTTTGACACAGGTTTCATGAATTGTTTTCGTGTTATACTATCCCAATTATTTGCTCAATTATTAACAATTGGTAACAATACAATGAGACAACAGAACACATCACTGCCCTACAATAAAGGACAACGAATATATATATTCAAGAGCAGAACTGCTTTCAAATTCTTAAAAAACCACCACCTGATCTTCAGAGCTCTTATTTTAGTGTTTATATACACAAAAGTTCATCTCTAGTTCTTCATTTGCCTCTGCATCCAACTTCTCTCCCAAACTACCCAAAGACCTCACTTTTCACAACCAGGAATGAGCACTACATTGCTAGTTCCTTGTTAGGCAGTTTGATCTAAGTCACTTTCTTAGAATCACACACAAAGCAAAATCAGGTATAACCTTCAAGAGCAGTGTTTACTATTTCAGCCGCAAGACATCTTTTTCTCTTTTCATAATTGCTTAATCCAGGGCAAGTTCCAAATTTGGCAACAAAACAGAGATCCTGTGGATGACAGGTTCTTTTCTTACTGAATTTTATTTCCAGATCACTGTCCATTAAACATGATCTCTGATTCAGAAGATGTCTTAAATTTTTACCCACAGTCTCAAGCCTAGAAAAATGATTTCTGAAATTCTCCTTGTATTTCTGCACTGAATTCTCTGAACAAAATCCTGAAGTGTAATCTCTAGGCCTCAAACAAAACCTTTATATCCTTATTCACTACAGTGATTCTCTACAAGTAGTATGAGTATACAATACGAAGACCAACATTTGTTAGACTAACGCAGAATAAAAAGCAAAGTTCTGGAGATAACAGGAGCTTCATAAGTAAGGCAGTTAACAACTGTCAGATGACTGTTGGCAAGATGCAAAGTGGGCAAGAGTTACAGATTATACTTTGTTTTGAATTTCAGAGATTACAGTTACAGAAGGCTGCATTGGGTCAGGTGAGGTCCATGTAGCCAAAATCTCTGCCTCCAGCAGCAGTCAACACTGAACACCAAGAAAAAGTACAAAAATAAAAACAAGAATACAGTGACAGCGTTCAGGTATATTCTTCCACGTTCTAGAAACTTGCAGCTCAAACTCTTGAGCCAACCTAAATCACTTTCAGCCTTAAAGGAAGCTTCCTTCTAACTAATTTATTCTCCATTTATGAAGCTATTCTCATAAATGAGAAACTAGATTTTTTAGTTAAATGTCAAATATGCAAATTAAATTTCAATTTTTTTACTTATGGCATATTCAAATAATGTTTGTTATAAGAGAAGATTTTCTTGTATTTACTTGACTTTAGAGAAAAAGATGCCAAATTCAAACATAAGTTTTGTCTAAAAAGAAAAAAAAGTCAGACCATATGAACAGATAATCTGTGTTCCAAATATGTATATAAAAAAATAGCGAGCAAGACTTTTTCAAAATTTTGTATTTCACTGAATCAGGAGCACACATATTCACCCATTCTGAAAGTCAGAGTTTTACGGATTTCAAAAGCTTCAAAAAAGGCTGCCTCTCAAATGCTAGCACACTCTAGAATTAGAAGTCTAGCAAGCAAGAAAAGCAATGTGTTCCATGTAAACACATGTTCATCTATACCAGAAGAACAGTTTATATTTTGCAGGGTTTAAGTGCATGATCATACAGAAAACACCCTGTTGATTTCAGGCCTGCAGGGTAGACAAAGATATTGTTACTAGAAATGAGTATTTCTGTAGCTGCAATATACATTTGAAGTTGCACACAGAAAGCAGCACCCTTGAAAGGTTAAAAAACAAAAAGCCAGCAAAAGCCCCCAAACAAACAAACAGAAAGCCCCAGGAACAGCACACCAAGAGCTCTTTACATATGCAAAAGAAAAGCTGATTAAGTTTCATGTTTTGTCATTGTATGCCTTGTCTCTGAGAGAACATGTTCTTTTAAAATTGCAAATCTGGTATTTACCATTTCTGAATTAGAACCATTGTGCAACTTCATAGCTTTTTCCTGTACATTTCCTATAACTGCATCTGCGCAGAGGGCAAGGGATATTAGGACCACACCTAATATAAGAAAAACAAACAAAAACCTATTCAGAATATTTATCAGCAGAGTAGTGACAAAAAACCCACTCTGTACTTCTCCTGAAAAAAAAATATCTCAGGAGTAGAAAAATAATACCACCACCCCCCATATTCTAAATGTCAGCAAAACTATTTCATTATACCATTATAAAGCAGTGTCGACCCCCACTCCCTCCACCAGTTAACCCCTGAGCACTGTGTGTCTCTAAGCTTGATAGGAACATCTGGACATTGCTATAAAGAAGCCAGCTGTGGTTTTCATAGTAACAAGAGTGAAAGAATGTCAATTGCATTTATTAAGGTATTTTTAACGAAGATAAATAACCAAAGAACGTACTCTTTCGAGTAGTTAATCCTAGATTATTTTTCCTGACAAAGGCAAAGAGAAATGTTAGATGTAGTGGTAAAACAAATGCAAGAGGATTCACAATGGAAATCTTTCATTACTGAAATACTAGTTTTAAAAAACTACTGTTCAGGTACAAAACCCGTGGTTTTCAGGTTACCATATTTGTTCATAACAAAGTCACTACACAGTCAATAATGTAATCAGCTTTCCAATAACAAAAATTAATAACTCTTTATCCATGCCACTCACAATTCATTTCCCAACCTCCAAACTTCAATTCTTTTACAACTGTAGCAACTGTTGTATTTAATGATGCACACAGGTTGAAATACCACTTTTTCTAAGTGTACATTACAGAAGGTATTAGTCATCAGAATCATGTTTACTGTCTGGTCTAGTCTTGGTTCCTTAAAATACCGTGTCAGGGAAGAATGAGGAATGGAAGACTAGAAACAAGCAGTGTTATGTTTTCTTAATATTGTTCTTATGTAATAATTAGAGGTCTCAAAAAAGGCATTCTGATGGACCAAATGGAGTATAAGCTCCTGACACAGGGAAAAAAAAATCCCAGCTCCTAGGATTTTCAGAATTGAAAGATTTAACTGTTTTAAGACCAATGAAGTTTAAGGTGGCACCTCCTTGGCAAACTTCTGGATATATGTGAGCTTCCAAACCAGCATTTTTAGTTTAGGAACCATTTCCTTTCCCAGGCTAGACTTATGCAACTGAAGCAACAGAAAAAGACTCTTCATTATTCTAAGTTATCAGGCATTGGAAATGACATGATAACCTGAATAATATTAGTTATGCTAAAGACCACAGTATAGATATATTAACTACATGGCTTCAACTCTGGTCCAAAGGTATAACAACACCTCTAGCTCAGCAATAGCCTTGCTACAGATCACTTCTGTAAAGTTGACTGAGCAGGTCTCCATCTGTGTTCCCCATCATGCTTGTTGCAGCAGTGCTTAATGGCCCAGGCACATCACTGGACAAATGCACGGGTTCAACACTGGACTGAAATGAAAAGGTTACCTGGAATCTGAAGTGCAAGTGCACAAGGAAAGGAGAAATGTAGGGACAAGACAAGTGTTAATAGTATGTACATACACAGTTTGGAGTAGGAAGAGAATTGTTCCACTCATTGTGATAGCGCTGCACCTGCCAAGTAGCAGCAGCAAAGCCATGAATGAGACCAGTAACGTTATGTAGTATGTAAAGCATAAGTAAAAATGATTGGAAGTACTGATCCTAAATTTGTTCCAAAAGAAATTAAACCTGGAGGTCTTGCATCAACAGACTTGACTGAAACACTACATTAGTTTGTATTTTACACTATTAATGTGATGCTTGAAGTCATTAAAATATTAACACTGCTTATACATTTATAAGCTATTGGATATTTACGTATCCTCAACAATACATTCTCACACTTGCAATCCCCACCACAAAAATGTGTTATGTTAGACTAGTGAGTCATTTGGAGTTTACCTGACCATTGAGACCTCTTTAATACTCCACATTTTAGAAGCCTGCCATACATAAGATTAGAAGGCACAGTAGAGGTAGCTAACCAAGTAATATCATCTTAACAACAGTGAAGCTAAGGACAAAACACCTCAGTCTGCAAAAGACTAACCTGTACTGGTACAACCAGTCTAGGGTGGAAGAATTTGCATGCAATTGATATTTTTACTGTCTTCACTGAAAATAATTAATTTCCACTTGCACCTGTAATGCCAGAACAGCAGAAGTTCCCATAGCACCAATATTTCATGACTGTCTCCTCCTGCACACGCTTCTCTTCTGGTTTCTCTTTTGGAAGTCCTGTATCTATTATTCACAGTGGTTTAGGATATCTACCACTACCTCTCCAATCTGATAATGCTAGGAGATGCTTTGAGCTCTTGGCACCAACTCCCATCTTGAAAAGTATATCTCTTCCTTAGCTACAAATATGTACCTGTTCTGGCAGGAGATAGTTTCTGTTTTCTTGGCTGACCTCTTTCATGTGTAAACAAAATCTGTGTAGATTCCTATTTTGGTCAAGCAATACTGAGATTAGATTTCAATAGCAGGAAAAAAGGAAAAAAACCCAAATCCAAAACCCCAAAACAGACTTGCAAAATCGTTCATCCAGATAGTATTTTACATCTCTTCATGCTCCATTTTTAGTATTTGCATCAGAAAACAAAGATTATGTGTTTTGTTTAACCTCACAGCATAGTTTTGCTCTCTTAGAACTGTGAAACGTAAATGGCTTTCTTCTTATCAAGTTAGCAGAAGTTCTGTGAAATCATGCTAGACTCATACTAGTTTGCATGGAAACAGTTCTACATAAATGTGCATAAATCACTGGAACCAACTCAGGAATTTATGGGGCAGTACATAAGCAGTAACATAACACTGCAACTTTAGAAAACAGTAATTCTGAAGTTTAACATTTAGTTTGCTGCTTATGGTTTTGAAAGTTTTAATATCCTTAAATACTTCGTTATTTCTTTGAAGATCCTCTATGAACATACAAAATTAAATTCTGCCTCTCTGCTTTCAGTTCTTATTCTGTGATTTACATCAAGAAAAGTGTAATTATTCAAAAGAATATACCATTTTGCAAAGTAAGCAAAGTTTTTAATAATTCTTATCACTGGTTTTACACTTTGGCAGCTACTTATTTCTGCAATACCAAAAATCAGTACATTTCTTGAAGGAAGGGTCCATTGATCTCCTAATTCATCCAAGAAATGGAAAAATTCCACCTTTCCCACATGAAAAATTTCTTCTGGTTAAATTAAGTGACATGGGAATGAAACAAAACAGGCAAGAGGGAACAGAGAAAAACAGAAAGAACCTTCTCGGAAGGTGAGCAGGAGAATTTTGAATCACCTTCCTAAGGAGACATCCAGACTTTTGAATTCTAGTTCTATATTCTGTTTTCACAGAACTAACTTCCTCCAAATGATAGTGCTTGAAGCTTCGATATATACAGACTTGAAGTGTTAAAAATAAATTAATAATGAAACACAACCCTGTTTATTCTCTGAAGACATTTAAAATTTTTTTATCTTGTGTTTTGCAGATCTTTGAGGGCATCAGAACTTCACTACATTTGCTGCACTTTAGCTTATCCCATACAGTTGAAGAATCAACTTTCCCAATCTTTTCAGAATTAAGTCATAGCACATATTTAAAACCATTCAAATTTTACAAAAGGAATATATTAACATGTGAATGCACTTAGAGACTATAGTAAAAAATAGCTGTAATGGTTAACATAATCTATATATCAGAAACACTAGAATATCATTACATGCTTACCAACATCATACTGTACTCAAAATGTTTTTTTTTTCATGTAGCCACCCAGTGATACCACACAAACACATTAAATGCACAGCAGTTTACATAATTCACATATTTTTCTGATTTCTTCCACTGCCAGTAGCACTAAAATTACATTAAAAGGCATGAGAATTAATTTATGAGCAAAGCAAAAGACATATACAGTTTAGACATCACAAATTGATCATTACTAACACTATATGAAATCATACTTTGTGAGGACAAAAAGTCTTTTCCGTAAAATTGAGAATTTATCATTACTTTTAGGAACAAAACTTTTAAATCAGTGCCTTCACTATTAAGAAAGAAAGGTTTCGCACTGAATGTCTGTCATAACAGTTGTGGTAACTAATCTCAGAATTTCAAAAGAAGAATACATTAAAAGTTGAATATTCAAAAGCTTTTCAAGGTTCGGTATTAATCCAAACACTGGCCAAGTAAATAGCATGGATTTTATGAATAACCAATTCTCCCTTGTCATTTGAGAAAGAAATTCAATGAAGTTTTTAAACCCAAGCAGGTTAAAATCTTTTCTTTGATTCTGATTTTACACAGTATAGAAAAGTTAGAATGTGGGCACTCCAACTAAGAATTACAGCAAATCTGAGTGAGACCGTGAATTAATATAAAGTAAATGGTTCTGAAATGGAAAAAGACATAAGACCTTTTAGAAAAGACAACTAAACTTTTGAAGTTTTAAAATCATCAAACCGAATTTTATCACATTTATTTTAACATATCTACTGGGAAGTTAAGTATTTCTTGAGAACAAGCATAAGACATTTCAACCTAAAGGGTGGAATTTCCAGAAAATTTAAGAACCTGAAAACTAACAGAATAAAGGCCTCTTCTGCCACAGATACAGTTCTACTAGTGCAAAGCTACAATGAAACCTGCATTTTCCGTACGATACCTGAAGGCACTCCACCAAGAACTCTCAGAATTTCTATGGAACACTTATTGTAGGAAAAACCCAAGCATTTTGTTAAACTCTAACATGTAATTTATCTTTACCTGTCAAGTTGAAGTTTGGTGCAACTGTGCTGTCAGCTAAAGTAAACCATATTAATCCAAGACTCATACATAGGGCAGCAGACACATCTGCAATATTATAACGTTTTCCTACAAAAGCAATACAAACAACATGAATGGACTGTTAACACACTCAGAATTTAACATTTATCCTGTTTAGCAGATTAGAAGGCAAAGGAAAAACTGTTCCAATGTCATTCTTTTACTTAAGCAGAAGACTTGATGCTCTGGCCTTTCATGACGGGAATTAATTTCTTCTACAACAGCAGTTACTAACATGGAAGAAGATCTTAACAGATAATATCTAATTCTTGTGGTCAGTTTTCATTTTACTCCTAATGACATAAAGCACATCCTCCCTGACAAAATACCATCTCAGCAACTTCAGGACAGCCTAGATGTTTTCTTAAGATTTCTCCCTCATGCAAGACATTTTGGCTGCCTTTATTGATTAGAGAGAAGTCATTCCCAAACGCTAACAGATTATTTGCGTACTTTTGGAACCCTACATTGTCTTTTAGTTTGGGAGAGACGGGATGTGGAGGGGGGTAGAAAAATGAAGAGAGTAGGGAAATGAAAAGGCAGGAGTTAGTATATCTTGTTTGAAATAATATACTCATTTCCCAGAAGCTGTACTTTCAATATAAGCTTCCAAGGGAACATTTTTGAATTGAGAATTTTAACTGAATTTTTAATAATAATAATAATAACAACAATAACAATAAATCGCAGCTTCTGAGAATACAATGCTACTACAACACAACATAAAGTTTCACAAAGCTTTAAAGGAATACCAGTCTCTCTGTATTAAAATGATACAAAATAACTACTAATAAAAGGTAAATACTGTGCGTGCATGGACATATGTAAACTTGTAACCTCCTCTGAAAGTTCAGCTTTCTATTGCAACTAGAAGGCCAGAATTAACTACAAAACCAGAAATAAAACATTCTAGATTCTGTTCCATAACACTTGCCCATGCAGAGCTTTAATGACTTAATGAATCCTTGTGTATTGAACTTCTATAATATACTTAAGTCTTCTAAATCCAGAAATACTGAAGTATGTTTCTTCACTTAACTATAGTCTTTATCTGTTGTTCTCCAGACCCCTTTTTATGTTCTTGGAATATGAACTATGACTTTAGGGCTAGTCAAAGATATGTAAAGTCAGGTGTATATCTGATTAAACATTTATTCAAAATTCAGGAATTTTAATTAGGAATTTAGGAATCAAGCTTTTCAAGCAAGAAGAGTAGGGACTTCTTTGGGAATCATGGCTGGATTTTTTTTTGTTTTCCATTTCAGTATTGAAAAGGTTTCATTTATGAACTGATTTGGTTTAGGAAAAAAAAGTTATATTACTTAAAAATTAAGAAAGCCTGCACAGAAATGAAGATTTGCAAGTGACCTGTACAACTTCCTTTTCTCCCCACATTTTCTGTTCATCTAATTCTTTTTGTACATTTTCTGAGAAGATGCTTCAGAAATTCCCATTCCTTCTCCTATAGGAAAAATGCTACCTGTCCCTGTCTATCCAAGGGCCTCAGCAGAATTTAACAAAGTACAGGATTCCATACACAACTGCCTCCCAATGAAACAACAAAAAAAATTATCTAATAGCAAGACTAACACTTACCTTGTATAAAAACCCCGCCTATCATAACTGGAATCAGCTTACAGCACTTGAAGATGACTTGAGTAGGGTAATTCAGATATCCTAAAGAGGTATTTGACAAACCCATAGTTCCCACTGTTAAAAACGCTATTATCATGTAGGTTTTGCCAGGAATTCTATAAAATATAAACATACGCATCTTGGTATTACAGACTCATCTAGAGGAGATTTAGCTTGGAAAATTTAGATAAAGGAATATGTTTGTAATACAACTTGACCATCTTTCTCACTGAATTTCATTCCGAAATAGAAATTTAAAAGCTCACATAAATGACTGATTTCAAATTTCATTTCTTTCAATTACTGCTAATAAACAGTATTCAAATACAAGACAATAAAGACTTCATGACTCATGAAGTATTCAAGCAGTAATTCTTTAACCTCCTTCTGAGAAGGTATATTATTTACAGAAGAATCAAGACAAAGGCTTCAGGTTATTTGTCAAAGGAAACACAAAAGAATGGTATACCAAGATATCCTGAATCTTAGACCTGTCATGGTCACTGTGTCAATTTTTTTGGTGAAGTTTTCACATGAACATTTACATATTTTGGAATGAAGAAAGTTGAAAAAAAAATACCATTGTTTTATAAAACTCAGCAGAACTAAGAGAGAAGTGATTCAGATATCATGAATGGAGGGGCTTGTTGAACATTTTCAGATGTATTGTTTGCAATTTCATGAAATTATCACCTGACAGCAGATGACCCAACAGTAATTTTTAGCAATCACTGTGCTCACTTTCTGAAGTGATTTTTTACAATTATTGTTGTGCATATGTTCAGCTATTTTTTATGCATAGTCAGAGCCACATTAAGCAACATAAGGAGATATCTTGCTGTAACTCTGTCTTATCTGTAACTCATTATGTGATGTAGGCATACTCCGAGGCATGCAAAAAAAATTTAAAATTTAAGAAACAGATTTCTGCACAAAAATCAGGAAATAGATTTTTTTTTTTTTGTCTACAATAAGATGCTTAGGTTAGAAAATAAAATGTAAAATATATTTAAGATCTGCATTTCCAACATAACTTACTTACAGGGTCATGCTCTGTAAGCATTAGCAACTATTTGGTAATCAAAACCTAAATACTAGTTACAGAACACCCAAAAGGTAACAACGCAATATTATCTGATGCATCTCAAAACGTTAGATAACTTGAAATATAAGCTGTCAGTGCTCACAATAAAAAGAATGATTTATCAAAATTACGTTATTTGGGTAAAAAAGAATTCTATCACCTAAAATCAGTATATGCACAATCAGCCAAGGTTGACTACAGGTAAGGAAAACTAGTTATGGTCAACTAAGACATAATGCTTCAAAGCAATTTTAAGATTCATGTACACCATGACAGCCTCTATCCAAGCTTCCAGAGGGCCTCAATATACAGGAAGCCATAGAATGGCCACACTGAGTCAGATCAAACTATCCCATTATCCACAGGATTCAAAACAGCAACAATCTCCTTGGTCAACTGCAGTGAAAACAGAATAATTTTATGGCAGGGTGTTAGGAGTGCTATCTTAAATGAAAAATGCAAAACCCAAGCACATCCTTTGAAGCAAACCTACACAGCCACATGGCAAACAGAGAGCAGACCTCTGACACTCTCCATGATGCATAGCATGTTAGAGGAACCTCTTGCTGAGGAGGTACCAAGGTTTGAGAGGGAAAGGTATTCAGTGACAGATGGTTTCAAGTGCTGTGAAGTGCAGTTGACCCTGTTCTAGACACGATAATCCCAAGTAACACATAGATGAGTCAGTCTGTATCAGCTACCTTATGGATAGAATATGCTCTGTAAGTGCGACAGAGTGACAGTAGAGTCAACAAGACTATTTACAGGTCTGAAATCTAAGCAGGTGCTTATAAAACATTTTCTAATATTGTGCAATAAATTCACATTATTTTAACTATGTAACTGCTACCAATGCCTCACAGTATTCACATTCAAACAACAGAAGTTAAATTTACCATAAATATCAAACGCTTCTAGTTTGATGGACAGTGGGTAAAATGCTTGGAAAAACACATACCTTCTCCTTTTGTCCTGAATCAACTGCAATTCTATTAGTCCAAAAATGGAATAAAATCCAAACTGCACTAAAGTGAGGTACCAACCAAAAGGTTTAAAACCTTCCACTGAAAATATCAATTCCTATAAAAACAAAAACCCACCAAGGTCACATACATACACCAAAATATTAACTCAAAACAAAATCAACAGATTTTTTTTCTTCATGTACATCCAAATCCAGCCTTTGCAGCTGCTGGTTATTAACTAAAATTTACCTGCCATACACAACTTGCAAAGTATTGAAAAAGACAATTCAGGTTCTCTAAAATGCAATGAGAAAATTTACTGCTAGTGTAAATCCACTGAAATTAATGGATAGATTCATCAAGGGAATATACTTGATGCATTAATATTTATCTCAAATTACAGACGGTTTCCTGACTGCTTTTCAGTTGGTTTTCAGTTCATTTACTTCAGTAGACTGTTTTTATGCAGAATGTATAAATAGCTCACAATAAATTAAATGCAAACTTTCTCTAACAGACATATTTACTGCTAATTTTCATCTCTCAGGAATGGGCATCTAATATTTTGAGTGCCTACATTAAACATCATTTGTGATTTTATAAATTTGCAGGCTGTAGAACATCCAAAACCAGAGCAATTTGTTATGGAAAAATACATGCACTGCATATAGAATTATGTAGATGTGTCAGTTATAGAAACAAAAGGCTACCTAATATTTTCCTTTTTGAGATTCTGCTTTCAATTACCAATAACTCTTTGGAAGTAACTTTAACAAACTTCTCAGCTGTTTTTGAAAATTGCATTGGAAACATGGTGATTTTTAATCATTAACTTTTTAAATCACTGCTTTATTGAGAAGACTCATTGAACCTAAAAAAAATTTTAAAAAGGAACAGAAATGTAGCTGCTCAAGCTAAAAGAGAAAAGGTTAGCAGGAAGAGAAATGTTTAACTAAAATGGCATAAACATTATGCTTCTGCTTAACAACCAACCATAGCACATGTTTCAGCTCTGTCCTGAAGGGACAGCAGAAAGAACAATAGGCTACTATTACTGTATGGCACTCGCAGAACTCAAGGAGATCCTAAAGGTTTCAACACCAGTGAAGACTTACATGTCAGTCTGTATGGTTCTACAATTTGTTTGTTTTCAGAAGACTATGAAATCACACTTAAAAAATACACATTCAAAACAATATTGAAAGGTATATCTTGCACATAGAAGTAAAAGATCAAGTTATGAAAGTCTAACTGAACCAAACCTTATAGGCACATGAACTATAATGGAATCTTACATTATACAATTACTTACTGCTCTTCAATTCTGAAAGCTTGACTTTGTAATCAGTTTCTATTTTAAATGCCCATACGTATTAAATACATACAATATTATTATGCTATTGAAAAAGAAAAGGGGTAGGAAGAATTGGCCCAAGACAAGTTCATAGTGTTTACCTGTAAATATCCATAGATTAGATAAAACATAAAAACTCCAGAAACACAGATGAAAAATTGAGTAGGTTTGTTAAATCTGCTGAGATTCATGCCAAGAACTACAACATCATCTACTGATTTGATATGAGGAGACATAGTTTGAGATTTGGAAGGTACACTGATGGAAATGTATTTTCTTGATGAAGTAAATTTCAGATCCATGATTCCTAGTTCGTTGCATTTGGTGCTATTGTTATCTTCTTTCTGCTCTTCTCTTTCTGTGTGTCCTCTGTCTGAAAGCTGAAAGAAATGCTGAAGTCAGATAAGATACAACATACAGCCTTCCAACAATAACAGTAAACAAATGTGACATTGATATGGAAAATTATAAAATTTTAAGTTTTGTTGGATTATTTTTAATTCACAAATTTTATTTATCTTTTCTGATGTCCAAAGTTAACATCAGTTAATATCAGAGGCCAACACTTTGTGAAAGCACTTTTGCTTCATGTGGGAGGTGGTATTCCTACACTCTACAAAACAAACAAACAAACCCCAAAACATCAGCAGTAGAAAACCAGCTTCAGTTTCATAATAGCTCAAACTAGCCCTTTTATGTCAGTACTTACAGGACTGACTGCTTGGGAGACAAGTGATCCCCATGATCAAATCACAATGAAAGAACTGGTACTGAAGCACTGTGGTTCTGTCTATTTTACTTCATTTTGCAGTGAAATATACCAGACTAGTCCACTAGATGGGAAGTCTTACTAAAAACTACATGTTTGAGCCTAAGATTGGTCAGAAGTGTTGAACTGGAAGAAGTTATCTCCTCATTCTCACATTTACTCACTATTTCTCAAACACTTCTGAGGAAAAGAACATGAAGATGGAAACAAGATTAAGAAGCCAGTCTCAGAAATTAGATTGGTTATCTGATGAGGTCTGTGGTATGGCAATCTTTTTAATATTAACTACATGCAGCCATTTCCACATGTAATGGGAAAAAAAATGGATAACTGAAGCCTGGAGAAGGACTTTATCAGCTTAGTAGATTAAGAAGCAAATAATTCTTTTCTCCAGCTCAGCAGAGAGTATGATGTTTGAGGCTTTTTTTTTTTCTTTTCAGCCTCAAGATAAAACACACTGGTCAGTCAGTTATCCCAAGATTTCTAAGTGTAGGTCAGCACCTAGTTCAGTGAGCAGTCAGTAATTAAATTCTGTTTGTCTCAACTACTCAGTTTGTTTTCTGCAGGTCAAAAATATTTCTTCTCATCATACATGTATAAAAAACGCTTTTCCCTGTTTTTAAATGGAAAATGTGCTAGTATAAAAAAGCTAGATCATGCAATAATGTAGTAAATGTAATCTTCATGGACAATGGTAATTTATTATGCAATATAAGAAATTACATGTTTAGCTGAAAAATGAAGGATTAGTATAAAACTTGCAATGTGGTTATGTTACCTTTTTTGATACAACCTACTATCAAGTTGGAACAAGACTGCTATTAAAGTTCTGAAAGAATACCTCAGGGACTGTAACAGGAGTTTAAAGACTATAATAATTATTTGTGTTTAAATTCAGAGCTCTTCAGTTGAAAACCAAAAGTGAGAGGTAGAAAGCTTACCCTTGTGGATTGTTAGCTAATCCCAAAATGAGGTAGCCATAAAAAAAAAATGGAAAAAGTTTAAGTACACTTTTTTCAGTAAAAACAGAAAAGTACCGATGTCATGCAATGAGGCACTAGCAAGCCTTCATGTACAATATCATACAGAGTTCTGATAACCCTCAAAGACAGATTCAAGAGCAACTGCAAAAAAAGCTTATCAGGCTGGAGGAACAGATTGCCCATCTTATGAACCAAAATAAGATGAAAGCATAATTTGTCTAGCCTACCAAAACCCTGATGAAAAGAAAATAGACTTGCTTTCAATAAAAGTATCACAGGGGTTACCACTAAGGAGGAAGAATCATTCTAATTTTAAGGACAGTAGAGTAAGAGCAAATGGGCACGAAGTGATCATGAACAAACTTTACTAGAAACTACCTTTTCATCCCTAGACTATCTGTATTCTAGAGCAGCCTCAAAATGAAAGAAGGAACAACTGAACTCTGTTTAAGGTGAAGTTTATGAAAGCAGTTATGCGGCGCTGTTAAGATTGGGTATGACGACTGAGCAGTCCCCTTTAGTCCTGTGTTTAGTGTTCCACCACTATGGAAAGCAGAATAAAGGTTCCTGTAGAAGACACTCAGTGATCCTTACTTGGTCACTAAACCAGGATATGAATTGCTACTCTTCCTAGAAGAACTGCATGCAAAGTTAAGCCTTCCATGTTCAAGCCCAAGGAACAAATCACCATGAAGGAAAGAATGTATTTAGAAATCAATCTATCCATTGCTGACTTCTTAGCTGAACTGGTATTTTCATTGCGGCCTGTTCAGCTCTTTCCTGTCCAGTGTACACTTCCTCTTAATAGGCACACAGCATTTGTTAATGTCACACTTTCTTAGCAGGAACAAGAAATGCAGAAGTAATGGGAGCCTCATTTTTCACCTAAGCTGAAAGACAAAGAATGATGTATGCCCAGCAGAAGACACAGCCATGTACAGTCATGTGTGCTTCAAGAGTCCAAAATGAAGTGAATTGTATAATGCAGTTTTGTACCTATATTTTCCACTCTGGCCACTAATTTAGGTATTATTTGTTTAATACCTGTGTTACAATCAAAAGAAGTAGAGGGAAGAAGAAACAATAACAAGTGTATTTACATATCGGGTCTGGCTGGGATGGAGTTTATTTTCTTCATAGCAGCCTGTATGGTGCTGCGTTTTAGATTTGTGACCAAAACAATGCTGATAATACACTAATGTTTCAGCTGTTGCTGAGCAGAGCTTGCACAGCATCAAGCCCTTTTCTGTTTCTCCCTCTGCCCCCCACAGCGAATAGACTGGGCTTTGTGCAAGAGGGTGGGAGGGGTCACAACCAGACAGATGACCTGAAATAACCAGAGATATTCCACGCTATAAAGCATCATGCTCAGCAATAAAAAGCAAGAGGAAGGGGTTTAGGGAGGTTAGCCATCTTTTGCTCAGGAACTGGCTGGGCTGCCTTCTACCTGTGGGAGGAGTGACTGCCTTTATGTTACCTGTTTTGTTTTCTGTCTCTCTTTCTCCACTTTTCCTCCACTTCTTACACAATTTTTATCTCAACCCATAAGTTTTCTTGCTGTTACTCTTCCTGTCCTCTTCCCCCATCCCTCTGGGGGTGAGGGGGAAAGTGGGCAAGCAGCTGTGTAGTGTTCAGCTGCCTAATGGTGTTAACCCACACCACAATTAACACAATTTTTCTGATTTTCAACTATTTATATTCAAAATATTTCCTCAGGAACTCCATCAGTTTTTACAATCTGTCCATTTAATTCCTTGCAAATTACTGAGTCTACCACTAAAATAGTAAGAAACAACACTGATAGCTCTAGTCACGCCCAAGGCCATCCATAAGAGGATGATGCATAGTAATTGTTTTTTCCCTATTATGTTCTAAAGGAAATGGAAAAAATTACCACTTTCAAGAAACATTTCAAGGAACATTATTTAACAACTGAAGAAACTGTAAATATATGTATCCATTTGAAACACTCTCCACCAAGTAATTTCATTACCAACAGTGACAGAACTCTTCTGAAGTCCACTGTGACTTCTCAAACTGTTATTTTCTAAGTATCAAAAATGCTATTCATCCTGCTCACACAAAATCCCTTCAAGCAACTGGTTCACTTTTTGAACAAACATGCAAGCAAGAATCTGTTTTATGAAGAGTTAAGTGGCTTAAGAGCTGTCCTGATGTGTATAAAGTAGCATATTCCCCTCCTTTTTTTCCTCCTCTGTGTAAAAATGTAAACACATTCTTTAGATCAAAGACTTTTTGTTCCTGCCCCTTTGAAAAAAAGTCCCATGCAGAGCAAGACTTTAACCTAGTACACAAGTAGAATACAGTGATTATTACATGAAAAAAGCAAATGAACAAGTAACTAGAAACACAGCGTTTCTTTGGCCTCCAGAAAGTTAACGACTTGTACGCCAAGCATGGAAAAAACCCATTATGAAGGCGCTGAGGCTTTTTTTTTTTTTAAAGCCTGAAGAACATCCATTAAAAAGATCAGTATGGCAGCAACTAGCATCTCGGCACTCTCAGAAAAACCGCTCCCATGAGCCACGCAAGGCAAATTCCCCGCTGTCCCCGGCCAAGACCCATTTTCCTTCGGAGCCAATTCCACCAACGCTCGGTGGCAGGACGGCAGCTGGTACCCTAACAGGCACCCTCCGGGCTACCGGGACGCAAACGTACGTCTGTCGGCAGCCCGAGCAGATCCTTCGCTCGGTGGTACCTGGTCCTGACTCCTCCTGCCCCGGAGGCACAGGTGGGAAGGGGGACAGGGACCCGCACGATCCCCGCAGCTTCCTTCCTGCCCGCTGGCCTGCGCCCAGCCCTCCGCCAGCCGAGCAGCCGGGGGCCGGCCCACGCCACGCCCCGAGGCCCGGACGGACGTGGCTTTACCCGAGCACCCGCCGGCTGCCCCGGGCAGGCCGGGGACGGGGGGGGGCCGAGCCAAGACAGGCCGCCGTTCGCTCGCCGCTCCCACCGGGGAAGGGAACGCATCGCTGCTTCGGAGCCCGCCGGGCCCAGC